CCAATAGCCGCAGCCTTTGCTGTTTGTCTTTTTTCTTACCAATCAGCGCTTAATTCCTCCCCGCCCCCTGAGCCTTTCTGACCAATGGGAAGTGAGCTCTTTGAGCGCCCGTGATATTCAAACTGAGAGCGGCGCGCGGGTACTAGTTTGGCTTGTGAAGGAGCAGCCGCGTAAGCGGCGGTGGAGAGGGTAAGTGTTACCGGGCCGGGGGCTGCGGAAGGACGGGGAAGGAAGCGGAGCGGTTCGTAGGGGGAACGGAGGTGTGCGTTCGGCGGAGGAGCACGCCCTGGGTAGCCTGTGGCGACGGTGCCCGCAAGGCAAGCCTTGCGCTTGCCCCGCCCTCCGCTCCGGCCCGTGCAGCCGCCGGGAGGCCAGCGCTGCACCTCGGGGAGCGGCGGTGCGTGGGGCGGGCACGTTGAGTCCCCCGCCCCGGCATGCGGGGTGGGCTGCGGTGGAGAACGGGGCCTGCGGTTCCGCTGGGCTTTCCGCCCCTGAGGAGGAGGAGACTTGGTGTCGCTTCTCAGGCTCTTCCTACTACTGCTCACCGTCTTCCTCTCGGAGTTTCTTTGTTTTTTGTTAACCTGCGTTTCATGAGGGGTTTCGATAGTGGGTTGGTTCTTCTGGGTTTGGGTTTGTTTTTTGTGTTTTTGTTTGTTTTTGTTTTTGGTTTTTTTTTAACTTATTTAGGTTCAGTATGCTATGAAACTAAACGCAGAAGAAATTCTGGATAATACAGTTGGTTGCAGGCTTGGCAACATACAAGAGGATGAGGATATCAAAGCATTGTGAGAGTTATCCTCATTTAGGCTGAGGAGCAGCGCTTTCCATAAATAGAATGAAGCAGAACTGAGGTTGATATTAACTTATACAAGCTATTTTGGATATAGGAGAGGCCATGTGGGCAAGGAGAGAAGAATCTTGGCATGGGTACTCATTCACCTTCACCTAGTGCAGGTGATAGAACAACGGGTATTCCTGAAATGATACCCTAAATTAAAACTACCTGTTTTTTTTTTCTTGTTGCTGCTTGGCTATATCCTTAAGCTTATATCTTTACATAAGCTTTCAGAACTTAAAATTGTGTGCTGCTCTGTTAGCCTTTTCTGCCTCTTGGTAACTTACCTGCCCAAACCAAGCCTATTTTGTTTATGCCACATAGCTCACCTACTTCTCTGCTGTTCAACCTCTTTCTGATTAGCCCTGGTTTGTATCTTTGAGTCTTAGCTCTTTCACGGTTAACACTGGAATTTATTTTTTTTCCCCTATTTCTTTTCATAATGTGGCAAACTTTTAAGATAATGATTCTTCCCCCAATGTTTGACATTTTTGTTTCCAGTTAAGAAAATCCTGATTTATGCTTTAAGACTTCTAAACAAAACCAGTGAAGGATTATGTACATATATGGGGTTTATGTTTTTTTTTTTAAAGCCTGTGTAAAAGCTTTAGAAACACCATGTTTCTTATTATTTTGGGAAATGGTTGCTGGATAAAGGGGACTTCCACTAACGGCTGCACTAGGGAACAGCTTAGAGGTGAGTTACGAAGTCTGTCTTATTAGATAGCTGGCTAATAATCTTGTGACCAAGTCTTGTAATCAGGGTGTCATATGGGGCATGAGGGGAGATGGGGATGATTTGGAGGGCTTTGCCACTCATCTGAATTTAGACTTTGATGTCTGCTTATGGGAAGCTTTAGCTTGACTTTTTCCGGTAACCGTTATTTAACATCTGTCTGGAGTAAGCAAATGTTGTGGGATTTTAGAGGGCAGGCTTTGGCTTCTTCAGGAACCTGCTTAGTAAGTTTCCATGGGAAATAGCCCTAGAGGGCAGGGGGGCCCAAGACTGTTGATTGATGTTCAAGGATCACCTACTGCAAGCTCAGGAGTGTTGCATCCCAGCTAGAAGGAAGTGCAGCAGGAGGGCCAGGAGACCTCCTTGGATGGATAAGAAGCGGCTGAGGAAACTTTGAAGGAAAAAAAAGAGGCTTATAAAAGGTGGAAGCAAGGACAGACAGCCTGGGAAGAATACAGGGATGTTGTCCGGGAAGCTGGGGACCAGGTTAGGAAAGCTGAGGCCCAGTTAGAATTAAACTCTGATAAGGATGTTAAAGATAACAGGTATTCTGTAGGTACACTGCAAATAAAAGACAGACTAGGGACAATGTGGGCCCTCTCCGGAAGCTCTCAGGAGAACTGGCTGCCCTGGATTTGGAGAAGGCTGAGGTTCTTAATGACTTCTTTGCCTCGGTCTTCACTGGCAAATGCTCTGACTGCACCACCCAAGTCTTGGAAGGCAGATGCAGGGACTGTGAATACCTTAGGCCCACTGTAGGAGAGGATCTGGTTCAAGGTCATCTTAAGATCCTGAATGTATGCAAGTCCATGGGACCTGATGAAATCCATCCGTGGGTCCTGAAGGAGCTGGCAAATGAAGTTGCTAAGACACTGGCCATCATGTTTGAAAAATCATGGCAGTCAGGTGAAGTTCCTGATGACTGGAAAAAGGGAAATATAGCCCCCATTTTCAAGAAGGGGAAAATGGATGACCCAGGGAATTACAGACCAGTCAGTCTCACCTCTATGCCTGGCAAAGTCTCGGAGCAGCTTCTCCTGGAAGGCATGCTAAGGCACATGAAAATCAACAAGGTGCTTGGTGACAGCCAGCATGGCTTCACTAGTGGGAAATCCTGCCTGACCAATTTGGTGGCCCTCTCTGATGGGGCTACGGAACTGAAGGACAGGGGTAGAGCAGTTGGCGTCATCTACCTGGACTTGTGTAAAGCGTTTGACACTGTCCGACACGACATCCTTGTCTCTAACTTGGAGAGACATCAATTTGATGGATGGAACACTCGGTGGATAAAGAACTGGCTGGATGGCCGCACACAAAGAGTTGTGGTCAATGGCTCAATGTCCGGCTGGAGACCAGTAACGAGTGGTGTCCATCAGGGATCAGTGTTGGGACTGGTCTTGTTCAACATCTTTGTAGCTGACATGGACAGTGGGATTGAGTGCGCCCTCAGCAAGTTTGCCGATGACACCAAGCTGTGTGGTTTGGTTGATACCCTGGAGGGAAGGAATGCCATCCAGAGGGACCTTGACACGCCTGTGAGGCGGGCTGATGGCAACCTTATGAAGTTTAACCATGCCAAGTGCAATGTCCTACACCTGGGTCAGAGCAATCCCAGGCACAGCTACAGGTTGGGCGGAGAAAAGATTCGGAGCAGCCCTGTGGGGAAGGACTTGGGGGTGTTGGTTGATGAGAAAATGAACATGAGCCAGCTTCAGTGTGAGCTTGCAGCCCAGAAAGCCAACCGTATCCTGGGCTGCATCAAAAGGAGCGTGACCAGCAGGTCCAAGGAGGTGATCCTGCCCCTCTGCTCTGCTCTCCTGAGACCTCACCTGGAGCATTGTGTGCAGTTCTGGTGTCCTCAACATAAAAGGGACAAGTGAACTGTTGGAACAAGTCCAGAGAAGGGCCATGAGGATGATTAGGGAACTGGAGCACCTCCCGTATGAAGATATGCTGAGGAGGCTGCTCAGCCTGGAGAAGAGAAGGCTGAGTGGGGACCTCATAGCAGCCTTCCAGTACCTGAAGGGGGGCTATAGGGATGCTGGGGAGGCACTCTTCATTAGGAACTGTAGTGATAGGACAAGGGGTAACAGGTTAAAACTTAAACAGGGGAAGTTTAGACGGGATATGGGGAAGAAGTTCTTTAGTGTGAGGCACTGGAATGGGTTGCCCAGGGAAGCTGTGAATGCTCCATCCCTGGCGGTGTTCAAGGCCAGGTTGGACAGAGCCTTGGGTGGCATGATTTAGCGTGAGGTGTCCCTGCCCATGGCAGGGGTGTTGGAACTAGATGATCTTAAGGTCCTTTCCAACCCTAGCTATTCTGGCTCATGTTAAGTTTCTAAGCAGACCATAGGAGCAGATCTAAACAAATATTTAAGCTAACAGTGTAGCCACAATGGTGTGGGGGTATAAGGAAAATATAGTGAATAGGCTAATATTAATGTCTTTAACTAGGTTAATCTATTCACTTGGAGAGAAAAGAGGCTGGGCAAGCTTGTGGACATCTACTTCGTTTGCTGTCCTTTACACCTCCTTGGGTAGAGATTCACAATATAGGTAGATTTCAGGGGCAGGAAGAGTGTACCTTTTTTCAGTAATAAAAAGGTATTTTTACACTTTCTCAAAGTCTGCATATGAGGGAAGACTGCATTTGGCTCCCTTCTGAAACTGAACAAATATTGTAACACTGCAAATCCAGTATTTCAAGACTGGATGTTATTATCTTTATTTATTATCAATTAATATTCTTGGGTGTCACTCAACATGGACTTCTATGGCTAATCTGTAATGCTGCTTTGTTTAAAACAGACTGCTAATTAGTCTTTGTCCCTTGGCTCCATTTTTAGTGGGTCTGTGTGGAGGGGTGGGGGTTGAAGTTACTTAAACTACTACACTTTCTTAGAGGTAGTTCTGTATCTTCCTGATGTTCTCCCTGATCCTTGATTCCTTGCCCCCAGCCTCCTTTCCTGTACTGGTTTCTAGATCTTGAGTGTGCTGCCATGGAGCTATTGCACTTGGAAGCTCAGTTCCTATTGAGTGCATATACAGTGGCATGTTGCTGCTTTAGGTCTTTGCTGTCTTGTCAGATTTTGAATGCACTTCACACAGATGATTCACAGCAAATGCTTTTCTAAAAGTAAGGATGCAGCAGATTAAGTCAAATAAGACTGAATACTTGCTTACAGTTAAACTTTGGCATGAGTAGAGATGTTAGTTGCAAATCATGCCAATACACAGCTGAATATGCGTTAGTGTATTGTTTATCTGAACATCATAATAAGCAGACACACTTGGAAGTGCTTGCACTCAGTGTAAAAATTATCTTTAAGCTTTTTTGTTCTGTTTTTATTACTGACAAGGAATAGTTTTAATGAAAATTATATTTCTGGGATTTCATGAAGTTTAGGCAAGCTTTCAGGCTTTACTGAGATTCACTTACTTTTCAGTGTCTAACCAGTCCATTTCTTATACAGATGAACTTCAGGATGGAGAGCTACATTTCTTGCCTTTGCTGGATTCTTGGGATCATCTGACATAGTCTGACCTGCATTCACCTTACCTTTTTGACAAGGCATATCCATTCTTCAGGAGAGTTTTTTCCGTATAGTACACATTGAACCTTGAATAGTTAAGCAGCACACCAGAAATGTAAGTCTGATGCATACTGATAAAAGTTAAGATCAAATTTATGCAGAAAATGTTGCAGGGTGGTTTTGTTTGGTTGTTTTTTTGTTTGGTTGTTTGTTTTTTTTTGCCTACTATGTTCGACAAGCTATCATTTGGAAAAAGAATAATGAACTTTTTACATTGGTGAGGAAAATATAAATCTTGTGTTTAAAAAAAAATAAAATACCACTGGGAACTCTTAGTAATTACAGCTGTAATGAGAGATCACAGTATCACTAAACATGAGGTAAATTTCTCTTGATAGTCTTGGTGCTTCAAGTTCTGGAGAAGCTGACTTTTAAGTCTCAGCTCAGTGAAGCATAAGTTGTATTTCAGATAGTACTGATTTAGCATGCTGTTTCTAGCTTTCATATTGGTGGGGTTTTTTTTTTTGTCTGTGTAGGGCTTGCTTACAGCTGTATTTGGGGGATGTTTGCTTCTGCATTTCTTAGACCACTGAAAATATTTCATTTTGTGAAGGAAGGATGGAACCATTTCCATAACTTAATGCATTTTTTGCTTTTCTGCAAAGATATTTACAGTCATGTCTTCAACATCTCACCAGGCTCCAGTCGCTGTTAAAGTGCTCCTAAGACCGTTTAGTAGTGGTAATACTAATGGTGCATTTGGCAGACTACATCTTGGACTGTACACAAAACCCACCATGTTTTGAACCTACTAAAGCAGCAGTTCTAGACAAGATCAGACTTAATGTTCTTGATGGCAGTTTCTAGTACTAGTTCTAGGACGAACATGAAATATGCTTGCTCCTGCTGTATAAAAGCAAGTTCTGTAAAGATGACAGTCTTTCTGGTTTATGGTCTCTGCTTGGGGAAAGCTAGGAGTCTGCTCCTTTTTAAAGAAATGTAAACTTGAGATGGCTAATGCTCTAAACTTATTGTGAGACTTACTGGAAGTGGTGCCAACTTTATTTTTTAGATAGTGGAATTAGAGATGGAGGAACTTTTTTATCCCACTCAATTACATTGCTATCAATCATTCATCTAAATCAGATCTAATCTTTCTGGGCCTTCCATCAACTTTTCATTGAGTTGTTATACCTGAGTACAAAAGGAACAAAGAACAACAATTTACTGTAAAAATAAACTTGATTTTTTTTGAACCTGTTTGATCTGTACAGAGTTACCTTCCCTGTTTCTGGGTTCAGCTTCACGTAATTGGGAAGCCAATTACCCTGGATATGTACTTAATTCACCACAGTTTTTAATATTAGAATTCCCTTGTTCATTAGATGTATGGGACATTGATTAACATGGAAAAAGCTGTGATTAGTGTCTTTTATGAAAATGCAAAAGACTTTCTGTGTAGGCAGAAAAAGATACATGATTTAAAAATTTGTTTGCTTTTGGTCTGCAGATTTGGCCACATCACGTGGGATGTAGCTATATTTCTATAATAGATTGCCAGATGTGCATATGCAGTAAGGAATACGTAAAGAATTGTGTTAGTGTGTTTTAGTATATTAATAGATTATTGTGATGGGAAGGGGATGTGAGCTGGAAAGGTGAAAGTATCAAATGTGAGAAAAACGACATTTTTTCCTCTCAGGTGCTTGGCTGTGCTGCATTTGTTGACATTGCCAAGTGTGTGTGTTTTCACAAGCTCTATTGGGTAAAAATCTTTAAGCTTGATGTTTATGCCCAGCACTGTACCAGTGGCTTTCAGCATTTATTCACTGGTGGAGCTTTTAAGTTTTCTAACAAAGTGCTGGGTAATTATCATTTCAGTATAGTTTTATTTGTTGTGTCTTTGCTAGTCTGCGTTAATCGGAAAAGTTAAACCCTCATATTCAACAGATCAGTCTTGAGTACCACTGTGCTATGATGTATTGAGACTCAATTGCAAACTTAGATTTAAATTGCCATCTTAATAAATTATTGCAAGCACATCACAATAGCATTTAATAGCTCATTTACGTTGGCTTCTGTGGAGACATTTACTTGTATAACTACATTGACAAAGCCTTAATAGAATATTTGTTGCATAATGTGATTGATTCTCAAGCTGCAAAATGAGAGGCTTTCCCATGATAATTCCAGTTAAGGTAAGCTATAACAGGATTCTTCAGTAACTTCATGTTTTTTTTTTTTTTTAACTTTATGCCACAGATGGAGGAGGGGGACCTAAGTGAAAGAGGATTGCCACAAATTGCTTCAATCATGAGTAGAGTTAGAGACTTGAAAAGCAAATACAGAAATGAAGATAATATCACAGATGAGCTTAACTGTACTAAAATCTCAGCTGACACAACAGGTATGTGTGTTTTGTTACTCTGTTGTCACTTACGCAACACATATTGGAATCATGGAATAGTTAGGGTTGGAAAGGACCTTAAGATCATCTAGTTCCAACACCCCTGCCATGGGCAGGGACACCTCGCGCTAAACCATGCCACCCAAGGCTCTGTCCAACCTGGCCTTGAACACTGCCAGGGATGGAGCATTCACAGCTTCCCTGGGCAACCCGTTCCTGTGCCTCACCATCCTCACACTAAAGAACTTCTTCCCTATATCCAATCTAAACTTCCCCTGTTTAAGTTTTAACCTGTTACCCCTTGTCCTATCACTACAGTCCCTAATGAAGAGTCCCTCCCCAGCATCCCTATAGCCCCCCTTCAGATACTGGAAGGCTATGAGGTCTCCACTCGGCCTTCTTTTCTCCAGGCTGAACAGCCTCCTCAGCATATCTTCATACGGGAGGTGCTCCAGTTCCCTAATCATCCTCGTGGCCCTCCTCTGGACTTGTTCCAACAGTTCACTTGTCCCTTTTATGTTGAGGACACCAGAACTGCACACAGTACTCCAGGTGAGGTCTCAGGAGAGCAGAGTAGAGGGGCAGGATCACCTCCTTTGACCTGCTGGTCACGCTTCTTTTGATACAGCCCAGGATACGGTTGGCTTTCTGGGCTGCAAGCTCACACTGAAGCTGGCTCATGTTCATTTTCTCATCAACCAACACCCCCAAGTCCTTCTCTGCAGGGCTGCTCTGAATCTCTTCTCTGCCCAACCTGTAGCTGTGCCTGGGATTGCTCTGACCCAGGTGTAGGACATTGCACTTGGCATGGTTAAACTTCATGAGGTTGGCATCAGCCCACCTCACAAGTGTGTCAAGGTCCCTCTGGATGGCATTCCTTCCCTCCAGGGTATCAACCGAACCACACAGCTTGGTGTCATCGGCAAACTTGCTGAGGGCGCTCTCAATCCCACTGTCTATGTCACCGACAAGGATGTTGAACAAGACCAGTCCCAACACTGATCCCTGAGGGACATCACTTGTTAGTGGTCTCCAGCTGGACATTGAGCGATTGAACACAGCTCTGTGTGTGTGGCTGTATCCACTGAGTGGTCCATAAATCATAGCCTAGACTGAGTGAAAGAACCGTTAACCAAAATACTTTAAGGTTTAGCATTTCTTCAATATGAATGATCACACAATACATTTCATCTCCCCTTGTTTCTTTAACTGTAGTGCTCTAATATTTAAAGTCACTACTCATCTTGAATGAAAGCATATAAAAAGTGTTTTCCTCTGTTAATAGTTATTGGAGTTTTAATCCATCTCCTTTGTCGTTTTTCTGTCAGATAACTCGGGAACTGTTAATCAGATAATGATGACGACAAATAATCCAGAAGATTGGCTGTGTTTTTTGCTTAGGCTAGAGAAAAAGGGTATTCCTCAGAAGGATGTTAGCCTCCTAAATAGACTCATTGGTCGCTACAGTCAAGCTGTGACTGCATTACCTGCAGAAAAGTACAGTCAAAATGAGAGCTATGCTCGCATCCTTGTGAGATTTGCAGAGTTGAAAGCGTAAGTATGAATGTTCAATTTGAGAACTCATTATTAAGAATTCTGCATTTTATTAGAAGCTGATAAAAATGGCTTGTTCTCATTAGTGATTTGTGCAACAAAGTATTTTATGTGGATGTTTTCATATTGGCTTCTTCAAACTCTTGACTGGTTTTGACTCATCGCTTATCTGTCATCTCCAGAATACTTGCATTTTTTTATATATGCTCATAAACATAATTGTTCAGAGTTATTTGATTTAGAGACACTAACACTCCTTTGGGGGGTTCTGTGTGTGAGGTATATAGAGAAATAGTATGAGACTTTTTTTCAGCTTTATACTTGAGCTCAAAAAAAAACTGTGTGGATAAAATCTGATATAACTTTTGGTAACTATAATCTGTGTATTAAACTGTGTATGTGGTAAGTTAGCATTAGTTTCCCTGTGGTGTTCTATGTGATTTGTGTGTGAGGCAGAAAACTTGCTATTATCTAATCCATCTAGTCAGACCTTAGTGGTCTTATGCATATCTTGTCTGCTTTATCCCTTACCTAAGACTGATCCTAGCTACGCTAAACTAGCTGCCTTAGGGTAGGAAGAATGTCTTGGAACATCATTGAGTAATTCCACACTTATAAAATTAGTTTTGGTTGTGGTCATTTATTGCTTTATTCAGTCCAAGTTTGAACAGTGTGGGTTGTTCAGACATTTTCCGACATAATTTTGGACAGGGTTATAACTTGATTCTTTGGTAAGCAGTTCTTTCGTCACTTGAAATAATACAGCAAGTATTTTGATGAAGAGCTGTGTTTTAACTTGCAGCAATCCTTAAAAATTATGGTTGAGCAGGTGATCTTCCAGTGAATATAGCTAGTCTTTCTCACATGTATAACACCAGAACATGAAATTGTTTTTGACTGATCAAGTCTAAAAAAGAACAGCAGTGTTGCATGTCTGTAGCTTTTGGAGATTAATGTTATTCAGTGAGTAGTTAGTTGGATCTTCCGTGTTTGGCATGTTTACTTATTACTTGTAACTTTCTTGGTGTTTGGTTTTTCCCTAGTGTTTCATACTTGCCTTCTCTGTGCCTGTTTGTCTAGTACTATCTATTTTGTCTCTGCTCAATTTTAGTTTCTGTTAAAGTCCTCTCATCTCATGACTCCTTAGAGTGCTTCCAATATTTTTTTTTAAGCTATTGCAAGTGGAGTAACGCTTTGATACATAGGTGCTCTCATGATACTCCCTTTGGTGGGAAAAGTGCTTTTCATTAGACTTGTTTGTTCTGTGAAATATTTCACTGAACAGAAAAAACAAGTCAGTGTCAGAGATCTTCAGAAGCAGTGACAATGGCTTGAGATTTTAGCATCTATTGGCATCAGCACTTTTCTTCTGATCAAAGCTGGACTATTCCATTGTTCGCATTAGACCTATACCATTCTGGTATCTTCTCTAGCTGCAGTCTGATTATGCCAAAACCTCTTGACCTAGTATGATACTGAGTTTGTTTAAAGAATCATTAAATGTACGTGAACAGGCAGCTGCATCTGTGTTTATCTGTCTTGCACATTAACCATGCCAGGCCTGTTTTCATGCAATGCTTCTGGCTGTAGCACAGTGCCACCAAGTGTGTGGCACTTGATGCCTGTTGCTAACATTTAGGTCTTGTGTACATATTCTTATCCAAGTTATTGCTGCTATATACAGGAACTTGATTTTTTAACCTGCTTTTTGAAAGTGAATGTAATTAATGTTACAGCTTAATTTCTGTTACTCTGACTTGGCTGCAGATGAATTATTCTGTGCCTGTCCAATTGGTTTGGATGATCAGAGCTGTATGTGTTAAAGTTACTGGAGTTCAGTAACATGCCTAAACTGTGGCTTTTGTTGTTCTTAATTCCAGAGAATTCTACTGGAAACACATTCTCTTTAGCCTTGTATTGTATTTGTCTTGTATTTTTTTTTAAGCTATTGTATAAATTTTTTGCTGTCCCCACTTCTATGTGTTGCCTTTGCCTGTTGAACCAGGGTGGAATTCTGGAAGAAATTAATTTATTTCTTGGTTGTGGATTTTACTAATAAGTGTTATTTTTTTTTTCTTAAAAGGGGGAAGGGAGTCCAATGAAACATGACGTTAATCTGTTATTTCATAACGATATGGATCCAGGCCTTTTGTATCTTGGCTAGTATTTACTTAAGCTGCAGATCCTCTAGAATATTTAAATGTTGTACTGTGATGCAAGCATCTTAGTTGTCCTCCTGTGCCAGCTATAGCTGAATGCAAAACTAGAGTTAAAGTTTAGTAAAACTGTTAAATATGAAGTATCTTGTCTGGATTTTGTGGCACAATCTGTTTTTGAAGTATACCATGTCTGCTACTGCTGCTTCTGGTGTGTCTGCAGAAAACAGGCTCAAATTCACCTTTGCTAACAAATTTTAATAAGACTGTTACCTAAGAGTATGACAAAAAAGGGTGTGAATTCTGTACATCTTCGAAGGAGTCAGTGTTCCCATGGAACTCTATCAAGGATTAGGTGTTGGGTGAATGCCCATGTACTAGTTTTCTATAGGTATGGTAGTACAGATGTACCAACAAACATCTTCCTTCAGTGACCTACATCTCTGCTAAGGGAATCTGACAGTTTGGGTGCAGCTGAAGAAGCTCTTTGCAATGTAGAAAAGTTTGTAACTGTTCGCAAAATTTTGGAGTTCAGTATTGATTTATTATAATGGATTGGAAACCGTGTCCATATTGCTGCAGGATATAACTTAAGTGTATATAATGTTTCTTCTGACTGGTGAGATACACTTTTCCACACTTCCTGTATCTAAAGTAATCTCCTCCCTGTTCTTCTGTCTTGCAACCTCCTTAGTATAGGAGTGGATACATCTAGAATAACAGAGTTTTTGCTCTGGATAGTGTCGGCATGTAACCTGGAAGGGCTACAGGTGGGTGTTCCGAAGAAAAATATCTATGTTTTGCAAACGAAGTTGTGACACTTAATCTTCCGGTTGAGCACATTCTGGGTTTGGAAAAGTATCTTTCAGAGATTAATTTAAGACTCCTTGCTTATTTGTACTTTACTGATGACTCTAAGGAAAAGGAAAACTTCAGTTATAGATGGATTGCTTTTCTGGAATTACCTAAAACCATCACCTAGCATGTAGAACTTCATCCTTCTTACTCAGGCTCTCCACCTTCATGTGCTGTCTTTACAGTCTTCAAGATCCAGAGGAGGCACGGGACCAATTTCATCTGGCCAAACTGAACTGCAAGAAATTTGCTTTTGTGCATGTGGCTTTTGCACAGTTTGAGCTGTCACAAGGTACGTAGATAAACTTGTTTGGTGTTCTGGGTTTTCTTGTTTTAAACTTCTGCACTGTTAAATAGTTTGCAAAGAAACTGGTTTTGAATCAGAAAAGAAAAATCTGCATTTTCTTTTTTGATTGAAGTTTAGCAGGAATATGTTTTTAAGCCCAGTTCTTGGTAGTGTTTTCTTTTTTTCTTTTTAGAGATAAGATGAAAATTAGTGATTTCTTTTTCATCTTTGATCTCATGGTGGAAGTTATGTGTAAGGCTCTTGCTGCGTTTGAAAAATGATGCTCAAATTTGGATGGTAATTTGCCTTTATATACTTTCCACTTGCTTGTGGAAGAAATTGTCTCATTCCAAAGAATCTTCTAACTGGAGATGTGTTGGGTCTATGTTGTTGTGGATTTTTTGTGGTTTTTTTTTTTATTTGCTTGTTTGTTTGTTTTTATTTGTTATTTTTTTTTGTAATTAAACCAAAATGTGCTGTAATTTGGTCCAGTTAAATTTTTCCCTCTGCTACTCAGGTAGCAATTGGATTTCGATTGATTCTTCTGTTTCCTATTCCATTGTTGAACATTCATGTTGGGACAGTGGACATGGTTCATATCTTCTTTGCTTCATAAATGTTGTGGACTGACTTTGACGGTGTCATTCCTGCCATGCTCCAGCTGGGGGGCAGTTTGTCAGGATGTAAAATAGAATGATAAGTCTTTGCGGTATAGTGCCATACAATGTTTTAGGCCAGCCATTCTAATATGAGAGTGATGTGTCTCATATAAGATTCTGGTTTCCTACTTTTTTTCTGTTTGTCTTGTTCCTTGGTATACTGGATCTGGTTTGGGTGGGATTAATTTTCTTATATGATGCTGTGTTTTAGACCTGTGACTACAACAGTGTTGATAACACACCAGTGTTTTAACTGTTGCTGAACAGTGCTTGCACGGTGTCAAGGATTTCTGTTTCTTGCTTGGCCTCTTCTCTTCTTGAAGGCTGGGCATCGGCAAGAGGCTGGCAGGGGATGCAGCTGGGACAAAAGGGGTATTTCATACCATATAGCATCATGCTTAGCAATAAAAAACTGCTAGGGGATAGCCTTTCCTCAGCAGCAGATGATTGGAGACTCGCTGGGCATTGGCCTGTTGGTAGGAGGTGATAAATGATCAGTTTTGTACCACTTGTTCTTTTCTTCCTTTTTCCTTGTCTTATTAAACTTTGAGGTTTTTTTTCCTTTGCTCTTCCAGTTCCCTAGCTAGACTATTCTAGATTGAGTTATGTTCTAATATATCTAGAACAATAGGTCTTCAATACTTTGCTTCATTAGTCTGCAAAGCTCACCTGGGCTTATATCACTTCTGTCCTATTGTGTGTAGGGGATGTGGCTGTGGTCCTTGGTAGCAGGGTTGTGCTACCTACCCACAGGATCATATTTTTGTGTGTTGTCTTAGTCTTCCTTCCGTGGGTGATTTGAGCAGTGATCTGTTTCACTCTGTTTATCTCCTTCCTTTAATAGCTTGCTGTATCCAGAAAGATAAGCATGTTCCCTTTTAGAAGCTGTTTTCTTCTTTGAAAGAAGCAGCCTTGATGGGTATATTTTGAGGTTTTTGTTTTTTCTTCATGTTTTTTTGTCAGTATCATGCAAGTTGTTGTATACTGTCTGAGAAATTATCCCCCAAATTAACTATGATAAATAATTAAAGGAGATTAAACTTCTGTTTAATCTGTAGTCTGTTCTACACTATGTGAATACATCTATGTACTATATGTGCTATATATGCATCATATACTATGTTCTACACTATGTGAATACATCTGACTCAATATTGTGTTGTTTACTTCTGTTTTTTTATAGGTAAACTCACTACCAATGGAAAATAGACTTTTGGTCCAGTACTTTTTTTAAACTGTATTTTAGGATACATTTTTGATGTTCAAAGTGTCTCATGAAGCAGAGCCATTTTATTAAAACCAATAACTAGATGCTCATTTGTCTTTTCAGGCTTTTCATTACAGACTTTAATCTGTTTTTATTTCCTTGATTTGTAACTGTTTTTTACTGCTTAGGAAATGCGAAGAAGTGTAAGCAGCTCCTTCAGAAAGCTGTAGAGTGCTCTGCTGTTCCACTAGAAATGTTGGAAACTGCTCTGCAGAACTTTGATTCACAAAAAAAGCAGTTGCTTTCAGATGAGGAGAAAGAGAACATAGCAGGTAATTGCAGTTACTGAAGATGTTGGTTGAGTTTATGCATGTTTTAATTCTGGATTGGAAAAAGTCTAATGTTTATCTGTTTTAGATAATTCATAATCTGCTATTGTCTAATAAGCAGATATATTTATCTCTCTTGATCTTACTCCTTCAGTGCTTGGTTCCATTTTCAATGCAATAGCCTGTAGCTTGTAAGAGCTGTAGGATATTTTTGGTTTTTTCTCTTGAAATAAATACAATCTGCAGTATTATCTGAATAATCGTAACTAATTTACCTATAGTATCAAGCACACAGGAGTCTGGACTTCAGAGCATATTTGGAAATCACAGAAGCATAAAAAGGAACGATTGTGGTGAAAATTCTACTGTTACCAGACTTTTGCTTGGGTAATGGCTTGATTTCTTAACTTTAATTTCTCAAAACATCATTTAAACCAAAACTAAACAATGTTGTGTTCTTTTTTCTTGCTTTCAGGGAGGAAAAATCACAGGAGCTTGATGCTGTAGTTAATTACCAGAATCCATTAAGACCACTAAACAAATCTAACCAGGTAAAACATGTAACACTTTGTTTCAAAATCTTAAACTTACCAACTTCTGCTTTACACAATTGATAACTTTCAATTCCTCCTAGATCTGCCCCTTTGGGAGGGTTCCTGTTAAACTAGTAACTGATGATGATGTGGCGAAGACAGATATACCACTTACAGCTAGTGTTATGAAGAGGTATGGTTGCTGGGTTAACTACAGCACAAAGCACTGTAATACTCATTTTCAACAGTGTTTTTATTGGACAGTGGGAATGTAAGATGTTAATGTTAAAATTGATCTAAATATTAACAACAAGGTCTTGTAATGTCAAAAAATGTTTAAATGCTCATTTTTAGCATAATTGCATGATAATGATTATATTAAGAAAGTGGTTGTACTTGTTTAATTGTGAAGTAACTGTTCAGCGCGGAAGAATCTGCCAATTAAATTAGCACTCTGCTACATGTTACCTGACTGTAACAGAGCCTGAAAGTAAACAGGAGAGCTTTTTTCCCCCCAGTCAAGCCTGTTATGCTGACTTTCTTCCTCTCTTAATGCTGTGTGATTAAATTCATGCTGAAATAGGAACTCGTGGGAGAAACATCTAGCTAAAGGGTAAAACCCACAGACTCAAACTCTCAGAAGGTAACTAAAGCATGATATTCTGAATCTCTGAAAGTAGTTTATTAAGGTATTTTGCATAATAATATTCTTCTGTCAGGATATAAAAATACCACACTATTGGGGTTTAGGATCCTAGCCCATAGCTTATTTCTGTTTTCTATGGAAGACAACCAAGCCTGTTACTTCCTAGAATGATGTTGGCAGTGCTACGAGGGTTTTTTTTGTTTTCTCACTTGGCTGTCAGAGTAGATTTGCCTTTCTGTATATCTGAAATTTGTAGCCAAAAGTCTTTGTACAACTGCCTTTTTAATCTGGTTCACAAAAGGTAATCACTACATTATATGTTGGCATGCAATGTAATTAACAATGGTGTTTCAACAGGCAAATATCAGGCTCCAGGCTTACAGCCTTCATTGCACCTTTTCCACTATCAGAACCAAAATCCAGTGGGAGTGATTCATATGACCTGAGAGACTTGCAGGTAACTGGAATCTTATTTTAAAACAGGTATAAGGAAATCCACCTGACTGTCCTATGGTATTGAAAAATAACACTACTTTTTTTTTTCTTCCCAATTCAAGTGAAAATTGTACCTTATTTCTATTGTTAAGTAATCCGTTGTGAATAGAAATGTTGTAGCTTTTATGGTTGAAAACTGTTATGCATAATAAAGTCAAGAATAGAAAGCACTTAGTTCTTTATTATAGAAACTTTATGGTGGAATTTCAGAATGTTGATGGATTTAAAAATACTATCAGTAATACTTGTTTGTTTATCCTGAACTGTTTTCTGAAGTGTATTTGCTTTGTGATCCATCAGTCCTTAATTACCACAAGGAAATGCCTTTCGGACACTGTGCTTAAGGTCACCTTTGATTAGTTTTAGATGCTTTTTGTTTTCTTTAGTCCTCAAACAAACAGAAAAAATCTTTACATTTGCAGATGTTGGATGAGAGCAGCTCAGAAACAGCTACCAATTCAACTGTAACTCTCAAAGCCAAAAATGGTACAAATCTTGCAGTGAAAAAAGAAGGTAACTATTAATATGTGATGTTCTTGTAGTTCTTATAGGTTGTCCATATTTTCAGAAAACAGACTTAAAATTGGAAGTATTGCGATGAGCCTGTCATCAGCGCTTTACAAACCTGGGTCGTGTCCCCAGGATGTTGTAGTGCAAATTATGAATATAATCTTGGTTCTGTGTGTTGAAGGTAATAATTGAGTCTCTGTTACAGTTACAGTAGTATCCTAAGATTTTTCTACTAGTATCCTAAAATTTTCCTAAGTTGCCATGTTACTACACTGAACTGAATGTGAATCCTGAAGATCACATTAATGCCTTTTAATGCATGATTCCAGTAAGTCAATGGTGTTTGTTTATTCTGACTTGAAAAATGAGGTAAAAGTCTTCTAGAGACTGTGTGAGAAATCTGCCAGAAACTTTCAAGTACTAAATATCAAGTCTTTTTAATAATCTGATTTTTTTTTTTTTTTTCCTTCTTCCTTCAGAAAATGAAGTCCAGCATCAGGAGTCAAAGATACCAGAGCTAAGGAGTCTGGAAAGTCAACAGCAGCAATCTAGTTCTGGTGAAAGCTATAGAAAGCAGTTGGATCAGATTAGATTAAACTGTGTTAACAGCAGAAAAAAATGGTCAAGTCAAGAAGTGACACAGACAAGCTGCAATAGAGAGGTAAATTAACAGGAATATGTAGTGGTTTTCTGGCTGCAGTAGCCTTCACCTGTTGAAAAAATGATTTCTTTGTTCCGAGTTGTGCCTTCTTGTGTAGAATAATATCATGCTTTGCCCACTGTAGGGAAAACAGTCAAGCCTTGAACAATCTGGTCATCCCGTTTCAAAAGGATTATCACCGCCAGATGCTGTTACAAAGAAAGGTGATCTGTTACATGTCTGTGGAACACCAAGCACCAGATACAGGGATTATATGGACTGGTAAGCTACTTCTTTGAGCTACACACTCATGAATGGTAGTCAGTCTCTGGCAAGACTTTAGCAGTTTTTATAACAGAATTTAAGTTTCTCTTTAGATAGCAGATGGTTTCTGAGTGTTTCCAGTACTCGATATCAAATGCCTGACTTAAAATTCAGATTGCATTTAGGGAACTTTGCCTTGCCTGTCAGCTTTTCAGCATTTGAAAATATACCATCAAATTATTAAATCCTTATTAGAACATTTACCTCTTTAATACCTGCTATGTGACCCTGTCTTTTGGATGCCTTGTTTTCTTGAGGTTGACAGGCTTTTTAGATTGATAACTGCATATCAGTCTAGTTCCCACAATGCAAGTGTTTGTGGGCTTAAAAAAACAAGCATAAGGAGTCTAGGTGCTTGTGGAATTGAGCACTCAAGTTAGGAAATGCTAGCATTTATTTATCTATGTAATCAGAAATAGGGCATAAACCCCTGTGTGTACATTGATGAATCCTCCTAATTATATGATCAGTTACTATTTTGATAAGTCTCTGGGATGAATCACATAGGTGAAGTGGCAATGAGTAACCGCTATTCCTGTGGATATGACCTCTGTAGCTGTGGAATTTAAAATATAGTGAATAAAGTACATCATCTCATAGTGGAACTTGATAAAATCAGTCCTTGAACAGGTTCTGTTCTTGCTTCTTTCAAACTTCTGGTAATACATTTTTTTTTAATTAAGCTATCATTACACACAGTATATACAGCCCATAGTTAATATGCACAATTGTTGAGTGCTTTTGTGTTCAGTGAGAACATTGCTTTTGACTTTTTTTCCAAAGTTCATCATTTTATTATCTATAAAAAAAGTCCTAGGCATATGAATTATTTTCCAGTTCTGCTCTTATCATCACTTTATGTACATACTGTAGGGGTGGGGAAAAGTGTATTTGGTAACATAATGTACAGTAAATACACCAAGGGTACAAATTAAAAAAATTCAAGGATTTCTTGCAGTCTAATTTTTTTAAATACATGATGTTTCTGCTTATATACAGCATAGCTGCAGCTCTCAAAATATCCTCTCATGATTGCCTCAAAGTTGTTTGTCTCAATATGCTCACTTAAAATTCTTCTTCATTTAAAAAGGTTTTGAGTAAAGAACAGTAAGCTGGAGAAAACTAACTGTGGTGCAAACTGTCTTACGGTCTTCTAGTTATATGGTGCTTTCACTTTCCAGTTTGTGGGGAATATCCCTATATCCACCTGGTATCTGGATATAGGGATTTAATTAGTGACTATGTTAAGAAAAAATTCCCAAGTATGTTATAGTTGAAGTGTACTTCTAAAGGCCTTCTAAGTGAAGAAGTTGAAGTGGTCTTAATGCTAATTATTGAATGTAGTAGAGGCTTAGATTTTTGCTAGTCAAATAGGGTTTAACTTTTAAGGAGCACTGTAGCCTTAAATTTTCTTAGAAAAACGTAAAAATACAACTAAATGCACACATTGTTCACAATTTCTTTTAGTTTCAGAACGCCAGTTGTAAAGAACAACTTTCTACCAGGATGTCAAATTTCTACTCCCTACAGCCAGCTCCCATATTTCCTATCACACACTCCAGCAACTCCATTTCAAAACCAAGTTGGTTTGCAGGTAACAGTTTTAGGCTGTTTTCTGCCATTTTTCAGTATGTGTTTTTGTTGGAGACTTTTATAGGTTAAATGTATGAATGCATTTTTTTATCTAAAGTACTGTTCATTTTTTTCTGGGGGAAAAACTGAAATACTCTGCTTATTCTCAAGATAACTGTTTCTTCATATATTCTTCATATGTATTCTGAGTTTAGGTTAAAATAGGTAGCTCTTGAAAAATCAGTTGTGTTAAAATTCTGAAGTCTTTATGTCTGAAATTTTGTCTGTTTCATTAAATAAGATATGAGAAGGCTGAGAAGTAGAGTGGCTATTTTTGTTCTGTTATGCTTTTATAGTGGTACTACCCACTGCAGTGGAGTATCTATAAAGCGAAACAGCCTGTGTTTAAAAACCATGAGTCTGAGGGAGGTAAACAATGAAGAAGGAACATAACTCTTCATTTTAATGCATTTGTAGTGGCCTGAGATTATGCAAAATTGGTTACCTTAGATGGGTTGTACGTTCAGGTAGACAGAATCGGGGATAGGTTTAATTTATTTAAAGTTTGTGGCTGTTCTACAGCTTGGTGTAGCAGGTGTGGGCAATACAGCCTATTTCAGTTTCACAGCAGTGAAGTTTACTAGTTAGTAGCTAACTTCAAATAAAATAGTAGGTGCAGTACAGCTCTAAATATGCTGAGATTGAAAGTCTCTTAAATAATCTAGGTATGATAGTTTCCAACACCTCCTGTAAAGAGGGAGGTGTCTCTAATAAACTGAGAAGTCTTCTTAAAGAAGACCCTTTTCTTGACTTCCAGTATGAAAAGCATTGGTATCTTTTTATAAGGTCAATGTTAGATGCCAAGTGATGATCGTTATACGAATACTTTAAGCTATGATGATATTTAGCTTTCAGTTAGAGTTTAGCTTTATACACTTTATCTTGCTCAGAAAGACCAAGTCAACTTACTAACTTAAAAAGTAGAGCTCTACCAAGTCCTGCTGCATGTATATCAATAGTTATTTTCTTACTTCTTTCTGTATTTATATAGGTTCCAGCTTCTGTACCTTCACATGAATGTCTTGCCATCAAAGGAAAAGTTTATACAATATTAAAGCAAATAGGTAGTGGAGGCTCAAGTAAGGTAAGATGATTTTCTGTCCTTTTACAATCACTCATACACTTACATAGTAGTAGTTGTATTGTAAGCATACATGTTGAAGTCATCTAAAGACTGCCTAGTGCTAACAAGTACAAAGTGTTTTATCCAGAGAACCTAGACTTTTTTTCAATTCTGTGCTTAGACTTTATCCCTCATGGATGCAGAAGAAACATAGCACAAAGATTAGATTTGGTACAATGCAGTATTATGTGAGTCTTCAGATAGCCTGCAATAATAACTGAATTAATGTATTATTTTGAAAACTATTCTTCAATCATTACAGGATGTTAAGCACAGTACTGTTCACTTTAGTGGAGAAATAAAGTAAATCCAGGGAGTAGATAAAGGGGGTGGTATTGAAGTAAAGGATGAACAGTTAACAAAACCCTGAACAGATGTGGTCAGAACACTGAATGGAAGCTACAGATCTGGGGAAAAAGTGATCACCCAACTGTCAAGAGCATTTAAAAACATTTCACTTAAATCAGTAAGAAACGGTGGGAGCCCACTTCCTTTTGCCTTCTGCATGAAGGCCTGAAGGTAGATGTGTTGAATATAATTTCTGTGGTGGAGTGAGTATTAAAATTCCTAATAAAATTGGTTTTTCTAAGATGTGCTGCATTATTACTGTACATCTTAATTTGAGATGTTGTTGTTTAGGGTGATGTGATTACATGTTGGGAAATACATGATTTGTAAGGTTGATTTTCCTGGTTTGGACAGACCATCCCATGTTACTTCTGTAATTTGTGTGAGAAGTGGAGTTTAAGTGTGACTGAAGTGGTGAGTTGCTTTTTGTAAAGAAATTTGAGGCCATAGGAGCTTGTGTAACAGTTTTGGCAAAATCTCTTGTTCAGAAGAGAGAACTGTAACAAAAAACCAACACAGTTTTATGTTACTTAAATTTCTCTTCTGCCTCCCACACTTCTGCTTCACCTATTGCTTCTGTCTGTGAAGACTGTATTACTAACCACATGCACAGCCTAAGGATTTCTGTAAGGGAAATTTGCCGCATGCATTGATTAATCCTCACTAACAGCCTATGTAGTGCTTAATCTGCAGTACATGGAAAAATCCAGCTGCCTTCTGTTCATCCTCTAAGTGGGTGACCCTATCACTGAAGGATATAAAATCGGCTAAAAGGACTTGCCCCTTGTAAACCCATGTTGACTGTGCCTGATGATTGCATTGTCTTAAAAGCCTTTCAAGAGTACTCAGTATGATCTTTGTAATTTTGCAAAGAACTGAATTTAGGCTAACAGGTGTGTGGTTTCCTGTTTCTTCCCTTGTGCCCTTCTTGTAAATTGGAGTAACATGGGCTCCAGTCAGCGGAGACCTCTGGGAAGAAAAGCTTCCTATGTTGGCAGCGTACAGTTGTAGAATGAGACAGGATGCATGTCAGTTAGTCCAGTGGTCTTAAAGCAAGGCCAAAATAGAGCAGGTTGTTCATGGCCTTTTGCAGTTGAGTTTTGAGCATTGCCAAGGATGGAGATGCCACAGCCTCTGTGGATGACCTGTTCACCTGTTTGTCTACATGATAATAAAAAATTTCCTGATATCTAATTTAAGTTTTCCTTGACATTAGCAATGCCTGTTGCCTCTCATAATGCAATGGTTTAAGAGGAATCTGTCTTTTACATACGTGTCTTTTGAGTAGCTGAAGACAGCAGTAAGATTCCCTCTAGCCTTCTTGTCTTAAGACTGAACAGACTTGGTGCTCTCAGCCTCTAATGTGCTATGTGGTCTAACATCAGTCATCTTTGGTGTGATGAAATAGATGTGTGGTGGCAGGTCAAATTGTTAGCTCTGTGGGAGGTTTTATTTTGTGTTCTTTATCTTAGGAACATTTCAGACTTGTGATCAAATATGCCTAGTGTAATATAATGTGGTACCAAGATGGTTTCTGATAGAGGACTGTTTGTTGTAACTGGTGGCTTCTTTCTTAATTTTTTCCTTATGCTGCCTTGTATGAACTTCTTTGTAAATTTAGCATTGCTTCTTCCTTTTGATAAGGTAGTGTTTTCTTTGAACCTCTGGCTATGGTGAGGTAAAGTACCATAGTAAGTCAGAACTAGGATTGAATGAAGCTATTAACTGATAATGTTTTGCAGGTGTTTCAAGTACTGAATGAAAATAAGCAGCTGTTTGCTGTCAAGTATGTGAATCTAGAGGAAGCTGATCAACAGACTGTTGAGAGCTATAAGAATGAAATTGCTCATTTGAGTAAACTGCAGCAACACAGTGATAAAATCATCCGTCTTTATGGCTAGTGAGTAAACAATTTTATTAAACTTGTATCTTTTTACATAAAGAAGTTGCCTTAAATTTTACCATAAGTATATTTATTTATTTTCAGTGAAATTACTGATCGTCATATCTACATGGTAATGGAGTGTGGAAATATTGATCTCAACAGCTGGCTCAAAAAGAAGAAAAAAATTGATCCATTGGAACGAAAGAGCTATTGGAAAAATATGCTGGAAGCTGTTCACACAATCCATGAATATGGTATTAAATAATTATAGGTATTTGTATAGGTTACGGCAGATGTGTTTAAATTTTGGAGGTGTCACTGCTTTAATTTTGGTGTAAACTTGGTGATCTTCAAAGATGGGTATTGTCTTATGAAAAATTTTCAGTGAGACAAGTAAATCTTGATGCAGAGGTAGACTGATTTTGCAAACTCAAAGGGATCTCAAGGTATTACCCTTGTATAATACTTTCTATTTCCTTGCAATAGTGAGAAAATAATCCTTTTTTGTATTAGACTACATTGTATGCTCTAAACACTGCTTATTCCCCATTAAACTCAAATTTCAGCCACTCGTCCTCTCCGAAAAGCTATCATTAATGTCAAAGCTTCATACACAGCTCTATTGTCTTTACTTTGATACAGTGTATCAGCTTTTTCTCACAGTTCTTCAGGTCTTCCTTTCTTCTTTACCTGTGTAATTGAAGTGCATGCATATGTATTGTTTGGCTTGTAACATAAAGGAGAGCAGATTTAGATCCTTTTCCTACGTAAGAAAAAAAACGAAGAGACCTGCACATATAGCAGAGAACATCACCTCGTTACAGCACGAGAGCACTGGAACATTTAATAATACAGAAAGATAGCTAAAACACAGGCTACATGCTATTGTGGTGTGTCCTTGAAGCAAACAGTTGTGCAAAATATGAAGATGGATTGGTTGATTATATGGGTAATAACCAAAATTCATAATAAATCATGTAAGTAGGGTGTTTGAGAGGTCAGTCGTGTAATCCTCAGTGAATGGTACCTTTGAGATAAGGAAGTAGAAAATATCTAAGCAATGTAATTCCTTTAAGTACCTGCTTAGCTGATTATTGAAGAGAAACCTACAGGAGTTTAGAATTGCTCCAGAATGGCAGTTCAGGATGGCTGTGTACATATACAGCCTGTCCATAACTGAGAGAAACTATGCAAGTCAAGTCTCTTGGAGTTATTTTGGGGTTCCTGCCGATCTGAATAAGTAATAATTCAAACTATAAGCTCATGCAAGTCTTAACTCCTTAAAAAAAAAGGAAACACCTGTGAAATTTGCAAAGAATAATTTGGTTTTGACCTGTTAAAACTGATCTGCACCTTGTTTGTATGCAAGTTCCCCGTAAGGGAACTGATCATTAAAAAAGCCCACAGTGGTAACTTGGACTAACAACCTGCGTTGACTTTAAACTTTTCTTTTTTATACAGGCATTATTCACAGTGATCTGAAACCAGCAAACTTTCTAATAGTTGATGGTATGTTAAAGCTGATTGACTTTGGCATTGCAAACCAAATGCAGCCAGATGTGACAAGCATCATTAAAGATTCTCAGGTGAAATACTTCTGGAAAATCAATGTACACTTCTCTGTGGTGTATGTACTACTATACTGCTTGCTGATTATGTTAATGTAGTAACTTCAATAAATGCTGAATGCTTATGCTGAATGGTTTTTATATGTGAATATAAATATTCATATATATGAATTTTTACATGTTTTAATCTAAAAGAATAACAATGGCCTTCAGCCTTACTGGAAACAAATGTTCAGGATGCTTTTCAGTGCTTTGGGACAAAAATCTTAACTTTTTATTGAGTTAATTTAAGTGCATTCTTTACTTGAATATTTTTACATTTTTATGCCTAGGTTGGCACAATGAATTATATGCCACCTGAAGCAATAAAAGATATGTCTTCCTGTGGAGAAAATGGGAAATCTCGATCTAAGGTAACACATGATCTTTTTTTCTCCTATTCCCTTTCTGTTAAGAAGCAAGTGATTCAGCCATGTATTTTAAGACTTAATTTTCTCTAAATCTTCCACTGAAACCAGAATAGAGAAGATCCATTATGCCACAATGATGGGCAGAGAGTGAAGGCTAAGTTTATTCTTTTCCCTACCTAAAAACATTTTACAGACAGTGTTTAGAAAAATAAGTGCTGAATTAATCAGTAAAATTGTAAGCAAAACATAGTCGTACTTTCAAAGTCTTTTAAGTGAAAGGCAGGTTTTGGAAGAAATGTGTGCTACCTGATAAGGTCTTTTAAAAGATGATGCAATGAAGTTTAGTGTTTTAGGGGGAAACATGTATGAGTTCTGGGTATCTTATTTTTCTGTGCTACAGAGTACTGTGTATTGTAGAATTTCTTGTAATTCACAAGGGCAATGGAATGTGAATGATGAGGAAAGTACCGAAGGAAAGCAGTTTCACATTGGAAGTCAAACTTCAGTTAAGGGGGGTACATAGTTTTGTGGAAAAGTATTTTAAAAAAATCTTATGTGCATATGCACACTCAAAGAGTGTGACTTTTTCACAGCTAAATAGAAGTATTACTATGTAGTGAATCACAATCTTGTCTTTCTAAATACAAAATAGAATGGTTTATAGATGGATTTCTTTTGTTAAGGATGAGACTTTTTTTGCCTTTTTTACGCTTAAAAATTGCATGCCAAGTGCAGGCTTGTTCTGGAGCTTGGCTGATGTAAGCAGAAATCAACCTAACCATTATGTTCCCTGTGTGCCTCTTTCTCCACCTCCCTCTTCACAGCTCCCCCAACCTTATGTGCTTTTCTTAACGTGCTTCAGCTTCAATAGAAGAAGTGTAAAGTCCTTCTGTCACAAATAGCACAGGGGTGGTGGTTGAAATATGGATCTGAATCCATTAAACCCAGAGAAACTGAACTCTGGCTTCCCATTTCAGGGACATAGCTGAAATATCTCACAGGTTTCTGAATGCTTTTATTTGTATTTACTCATAAATCTGAAATCAGAATTCTGCGGTTAACAACTAATCATGATTTTAAGTTCAAGTAAAGTGATTTTCAAAGATGATAAAAATAGGTTTCTTGCAGAATATTAGTGAATGAAGACACATCACTCTCTTAGTAGATAATGGCATGCTGTCTTGGTAATTTTTGTGTGATAGTTACCAAGATCTGTTATGTTTAACATACAGGGTAAAGTGAAATGACTGTGTAATTGTATGATAAATTAACTGAAGGGGCAGTTCCTTAAGAACTAATCTTTTTTGTTTGGTGTTTTTTTTTGTTTGGTTTTACTTGTTGTTGCTATATTAGATAAGTCCCAAAAGTGATGTGTGGTCATTGGGATGCATTTTGTACTGTATGACATATGGAAGGACTCCATTCCAACGTATAACAAATCCAATGAATAAAATGCATGCTATTGTTGATCCTAGTTATGAAATAGAATTTCCAGATATTGCTGAGAAGGATCTTCAAGATGTGCTAAAGGTAACTGTCCCTTAAGATTAATTTTGTGTCAAATAATGGCAAGTTTTTTAAAGCATATTTTCATAAACTGAGTTATGCTTGAGAAACTTCTTTCATAATTAAATGCTCACTGCTACTTGTAGTGACAGGCCTTGTTCCAAAAGAATTAAGCTAGAGCTGCTTCATACAGTTTCCATGGTAAAAGTTTGGCTTAACTCCCTTGGCTGAACAACATAAAGTAAATACAGTAGCTTTTGTACTGACCATCCCTTTCCCTCACCCTGCATATCTGCCTGCTTTTAAAACTTGGTTCATGCTTTTACTCAAGCCCTTATTGTGTTGCTCAGCAGATAATAAACTGAAATCCATAAAATCTTACTCCCTTAACTCTCAAATCTGTGTCTTTATCATTTGGAATAAAAGGCTATTGTAAATTCTGGTCTTCACCTTTTCTAACGTTGCTTGAGTAAAACAGGATTCTAAGCTTTAGAATAAAGATAATTGCTAGTGGAAGCAATTAGGTTAATTTGGGTCTTTGAGTATGAATTTTAGCAGTAAGTAGTTCTGACATGCATCTACATGGTCCTTTAGAGATACTCACTGTTAATTAGTAGGAAAACTCTTAATTTATAGGCAAAGCATCTTCCTCTTTCTTCATTTGCAGCGCTGTTTAATAAGAAACCCTAAACAAAGAATATCTGTTTCGGAGTTGCTGGTGCATCCCTACGTTCAAATTCAAAGTCATTGTCAAACAGGTACATTTATTTTCAAGTATGCTTTTATTAAATAATATTTATAATTCTGTTTAAGAAAACAAAATGCTTTACTCTTACATGCACTTACCACCTGTTGGTGTAATGGTCTATTTTGTTTGCCTGTGTGTGTTTCAGAAAAAACTTCAGTATTTTAATTTTTAAGGCTCTTACAAACTGCCCTGGTAATTTATACATAGTTGTGTACAGCTTTAGCATAACTGTAAATTAATTGCAGGTGCTCCAAATGCAAAAGGAACAACAGAGGAAATGAAACGTATCCTTGGCCAACTTGTTGGCTTGAATTCTCCCAACTCTATTTCTAGAGCTGCTAGGGTAAGTAAATTGTTTGTGTGAGACTACATGTTCATGCAAAGGTTAGGATATTTGATAGTGAAAGCTGAAGTAATACATCCACCAGAGCATTAACTACAGCTGGAAAAAAATTGCACTCGTAGTGCTTTTGTTTACAAGCATGCAGAATCTTCACACCCTTCTGAATGGGAAGGGTGGAAAGGTTGATGGTAATTTTTTTTTCTTTCTTTTCCACCTTCTACTGCATCTGTAATGCTTTATTTCCAAGTCCCCCACTGCTCTAGCATCTCCTCGCTAAAACGGTCCTTACTGTGCAGCCTTGCTTTTAAGCTGCCCAAAGCTCTAGTAGGTCTTCTAATTTAAGAACCATTATTATGTGGAAATGATCTAGTGTGCAGGCTTTTGGACTGCAACTGTTCTTACTTCCTGGAAGTCGCTGAATTTTTAGCACATCACTATGTGTAGATCGGTCCCTGTATGTTTAGGTATTCGAGCCTCTGCTTACTGCCTGAAAGTAAAGCTTAGTAACTTTTTACCAGCTTGGTTCTTCCCACCTAAGTTGTCTTAAGGATGTATACATTTTCTGATTTTCAGAAATTTTAGTAGGGGTCTGGAATATTTCAGTACATGGTGACTTATTTCAAGTGGCAATGTTTGTTATAAAGATACAGTTTGAATGCATATGTGATACACCTGTTTTGATTAACTTTCAGACTTTATATGAACAGTGCAACAGTGGTAAAAGTCTCGATGTATCGGCATTTGCAAAACATGAGAGTCAAAAATCGTGGACCACAAAATGATGTACTACCGTTCAAGATGCAACAGAGATGTCTGGTCTGTTCAGAAGATATTTTGTGCTGCTAGCTTTTAAAAGGACACTCGGCATAAAGTTTGCGTTTTTAAATGTTCTTTGTATCTTCTGGTAACACTTGCAGATCATTACAAAGAATTTGACTGAATGCTTTTTCACTGTGGGCTGTTTCACTCTTTTCATGCTGCAGTGAAAATTACTAGTTGGTGATTATGGTCTTTGTTACTTCCAAAGCACAACAGTATTTGAAGTACAAAAACTTGTATGAGAATCTTCAAGCTGTTATCCCCCTGAAGCTAAAACAAAGAAGTTTGTAAAATGCCAACTGGTGTACATGAAAAAAAATATCCAAGTGTGTTTTGACATATCTCCTATGGTATGAATGCAGGGTATTATGCTCTTCTGTCCTTTACCAGCAAATGTCTGTTTATATGGGGTCAGTTACAATGCTGATATAAACATGTAAATGTCACCTAGTTTTTGAGGTGTTCCTGTGGTTAAATGACATGGTGGAATTGCTGTTCTGAAGCTATATGAATCAAATGGCTTTTGTTCTATTAAAACTGCTGCTAAAAATTCAGTATATTTTTCAAACTTCAGAATAATGGAACACCCATCAAGATTCATGATGGTCAGGGATCACAAATTTGGATTTTTAAAAGCACTAAGTACTCTTTAAAATGTACCAAACAGCAGGACTGGTTTTTATGTGATTGTTAGTGGGTTGATTGGGCATTGTTTTAAGAGTTAAATTTCTGGTGCAAGTGTAAGAATTCTAAATTTACCTAATTCAAAGATGTTAAAATATCCAGTAGCTTGAAATTGGGGAACAAAATCCCTTGCCTTCAGTTTCATGACAGCTGCCATGCTGCCCTTTGCCTTCTAAAATGGAGTGCTCTCTATTGATCAAGCATTTTGAACAGTCTGCCTATCATTCATAATAGCCCTGCTTATAAAGAGCCCAACTTCATTATTAAAGTGTCTCTTTCATTGTTTATCTATGTGAGTTAAGAGTATGACATACTTCTTGATCAGTGATGGCAAAAGCTGGTCAGCACAAGGGAAACTTTCCTTGACAATTTCTGCCTCTTGGATTACTCGGGTCGTGTTACCTTACCTTCAGATGAACACTGAAATATTTTAAGTCTTTGTGATAGCTTCTGTATTTTGTGTTTAAGTTTGGATAACTCCAGTTGGGAAAAGATGTCATAATGTAATGCTTCACAGAGACTGAAGTTGAGGGAAGTTTGTCTTTTATTGTAAGCATGTATTTAAATAGTCACTTCCCCCTTATGAGTCATTTTTTTCTTTCAGTTTTTCTGGATTCACAGTTGTTTTTTTTTCCATTTTGATCTTAATGTCAGGTTTCACTGATGTGTTACTGCCAGTTAATTTCTGTACCTTTTGTTTCTGTGACTCGTGAAAGATTGAGGCTCAAAAATCTGAGTGGCTTGGTGCCACTGGTTACCTGTGAATCTGAAACTGGGACAGTACTGCAAGATCTCCATAAGGCCTCTGAGTAAGGGATGTAGTCTAGTTTACTCTGCCAGGTTTTGCTACCTGACATTATGCATCCAAGCACTGGAGTGCAAATCAAGTGCCTGGAAGTTTTTTCTGCCTTGGCAGTGGAGGTGCGTGTTCATAGCACTTTTGTCATCCCTATGCCATCGGGAAGGTCAACTTTGAGCATCACAAAACACTGGGTAGTTGTGGTTGATATTCTGAGCATGTGAATATTGTTCTTGAAAACTTTCCTTTTGACCCTGTGAAAGGTGAATTTACCCTGCCTTTGTCATATGTATTAGCAGGGCTGAGATACTTTTATCTTCGCTTTGTCTAGGTAAGCTTGTCTTACACCCAGAGTAATAAGCATATTGTACTGCAGGCTGTAGTCTACTTTCCCTTAGTGTTTATAAGGGATCACTCATTACTGACACCTTTAAAAGATAAAAAAGTGCCTGGAATATTTGGGAAAATACTTAATTTCTGTGTGTTCTTGTTATCTTTCCTGCCATTGGTTTATCATTTTTTTTTTTTACTTGGCTGCCCTATAAGAACTGAGGAATGAGAGAAGAATAGTGCACACTTTGTCAAATGGTAAAAGAAACTTGGAAGTATTGTATTCTTCCCCAGACTTTTGCTTTGATTTTTAAATAAAGACTTCAGAGCATGCTAATGTTAATAAAAGCACCTCTTCCTAGGTGGGAAACTTTGTTCTCAATTATCTCATATTCAAAGCAGCAAACTAACTCTTCAAATAATAAAAAAAGAGTTCTTTAATGAAGAACAGTATTTGTGTAATTTTATCAGGCCTCTGCTTAATGTCTGTGTTTAAAAACCTCTTAAGCCCTCCCCACCTTCAATTGCCAGGTATGACTATCCTGCTGTGACAGAGCTGGCTCTTATAAAAGAGTGTTAAATATTCCAGGGTGTGTTCCCGTGGCTGTGCAACATGGGCCCTCTTTGTTTCAGGTTAGCAGTGATTGTCGGGGTTACACAGGGATAGTGATTAGGGATGGGAACTGCTCCTGCTATCCGCCCTTCTCAGCCTGTCACCGGAGGAGGGCAGAAGCAGGGGCCAGAGAGTGTGTGCTCACCTCAGTGCTGGGGCACACACAGGAACAGCACATCTCTTGTAAGGACAAACGTGGAATGATAAACTTTTATCTAGTTGTTGTCAGATGAAATGGATTGTGGAGTCTCAATTAGTCAACAGTGGGGGTGGGGGCTATCCCATATTTCTAGGGGAAAAACTTAAAGATATGTTCCATGTACTGGAATTTTTTTAATACCCAATGTCACTACTCCCATGGAAGTTCAGTGATATTTCAAGTACAGTGGGCACATACACCAGTTGTACCCCACTTCCACAATAAATGCTAAAGCTTGAAGCTACTGAAGAAAAACTACTGCTGTTCTGCACCTTTCATTCTTGACAGTCTGGGAGACTACTTAATGGTGCAGGAACTGAAACACTACCTCTGGCTTCCTCTGGAGGGAGGTGAGAAGTATGAGCCTATTCAGAGGAAGATCTTTACTCTGCAGAAACACCTTTTTGTGAAGTGTTACTGAAATATGCTTCTGAGGTGGGCTGATGCCAACCTCATGAAGTTTAACCATGCCAAGTGCAAGATCCTGCACCTGGGTTGGAGCAATCCCAGGCACAGCTACAGGCTGGGCAGAGAAGAGATTCAGTGCAGCCCTGCAGAGAAGGACTTGGGGGTGTTGGTCGATGAGAAAATGAACATGAGCCAGCTTCAGTGTGCGCTCGCAGCCCAGAAAGCCAACCGTATCCTGGGCTGCATCAAAAGGAGTGTGACCAGCAGGTCGAAGGAGATGATCCTGCCCCTCTACTCTGCTCTTGTGAGACCTCACCTGGAGTATTGTGTGCAGTTCTGGTGTCCTCAACATAAAAAAGACATGGAACTGTTGGAACAAGTCCAGAGGAGGCCACGAGGATGATCAGGGGACTGGAGCACCTCCTGTATGAAGACAGACTGAGGAAGTTGGAGCTGTTCAGCCTGGAGAAGAGAAGGCTGAGTGGAGACCTCATAGCAGCCTTCCAGTATCTGAAGGGGGCCTGTAGGGATGCTGGGGAGGGACTCTTCATTAGGAACTGTAGTGATAGGACAAGGGGTAATGGGTTAAAACTTAAACAGGGGAAGTTTAGATTGGATATAAGAAGGAAATTCTTTCCTGTTAGGGTGGTGAGGCAGTGGAATGGGTTGCCCAGGGAAGTTGTGAATGCTCCATCCCTGGCAGTGTTCAAGACCAGGTTGGACAGAGCCTTGGGTGGCATGGTTTAGTGTGAGGTGTATCTGCCCATGGCAGGGGGGTTGGAACTAGATGATCTTAAGGTCCTTTCCAATCCTAACTATTCCATGATTCTATGATTCTTTAAATGTCTCTTAACTACTTGTCTATAGATTACAGATCTTGAGATATTTCTGCATCATTATTATCATGTTATAGTTGTTAATTTCCACCACATTATTTTTATGGTTAGTGTGGAATACGCAGAGAAGCAGTGCTGCATGTCTTGGGTTTTTCTTGTGGGAGTATAAGATTTATCAACCCTTTCTCTGATTCCATGGTTGCTAAAGAACCCACAGGAAATAGAGCTGACATGAGAGGGAGCTTATGAAAGAGGACTGGGGCTGATGAGAGGCAGTGGGTTGTTATCAGTCATCCATTTGTAAATAAAAACTTCCTATTGCAAATAGGCAATTGATTTATACTCCTTCCCTGCCTCGGTGATGTGCTACAGGATGCATACCTATTCTGGCAGCTGCTGCTTACCAGCCCTTTGTCTATTAGTACTGGGTTTTTTGCTTTACAGGCAACCCATCACCCTTTTCAAAGTACAGGACAGTTATGCATGAGTAGCTTTAAAATTCAGAAAATACATATTAAATGTTGGGTAACAGGGGTTGCTGCCTGGCGCTTTGTTGAGATGACAAAAAAATCCATCATCCATTACTGTCACCCTCAAGGCCACAGCTCAGGACGTTGTCTATGTAAATGGAGAGAGAAGATGTCTAATTAAATTACAGGATGTCTGCTGTGGTCACTGTTACTGGATACATGTATATGAGATACCACAACTGCATCAAGAGCGGAAAGGTAAATGAGAACACATCAGTAAATTACCTGTTTGAAATGGGATTGGAAACTTACACCTTAAAATCTAATCTTGTCATCCAGAAAGCGTTTAATTGGCAGCTAGCACTAAGAAAAGCTGAACTGCAGAGAGATGGCTTTTATTATCAGATGGATATAGCATTACTTTGTCTGAATAGCTGTATATGTAATTGGAATTCAAAGACTTAAGTTTGGAGGCTCTGGTGTTATAGTCTGACTTGGTGTACCAACATCCAGAACTGTGTTCTGGGCAAGTGCAAGGGGAGCCTGCTCTCTTATGTAATTCCCTGCTTTCAGGAGGCTTGCCCAAGGAGCAGTGCAAGTCTGCCCCCATGGCCCTGCAAAAGTCAGACTTCTGTATATCATCTGGCTTTCTTGAAGGCAGTCTAAGCTCCTGCTGCTGAACAAGTAGCTGGGTGGGAAGGGAACCACAGAATGGTTTAGTCATTTCATCTAACCTCCCTGTCAGGGCAGAGACATCCTCTACTGGACCAGGTTGCTCAAAGCCCTGTGCAACCTGCCCTTGAACACTACTGGGAATGAAGCATCCACAGCTTCCTTGGGCAACCTGTGCCAGTGCCTCACCACTCTCATGCTAAAGAACTACTTCATTGTATCTAATTTATATCTGCCCTCTTCTATTTTAAAGCCATTCCTCCTTGTCATGTCACTACATACCTGTGTAAAAAGTTCCTCTTCAGATCTCTTGTAAGCCCCCCTTTAGATACTGGAAAGCTGCTCTAAAGTGTCTCTAGAGCCTTCCTTCTCCAGACTGAACAACTGTGCTCTTGGCCTGTATTCATAGGAAAGGTGCTCCATCCAGCCTTCTGAACATGGTTAAATCCTCAACAGTAGAGAGGGTATAGCAGGGTGTGAGTCTGAAAGTAAGGTGTTAAATTGTCATTCCCTTTTGGTCCCTCCTGTGGGTTTCTGTTCTTTAAGCACCTGGTAGTGGTTTCATGCTAAACAGGTAATTAATTATG